TTACGAATATAGTTAAAGCTGTTTGGTTGTCTTAATCTCGTGAACTGTTATAATAATACTTCCTTGTAATTGTTGCTGGTCATTTGTGTCTTTAAAGGGACTATTGACCGTATGTCTTTTAATCATTTTATAGTAGGTTTTTTTGTAGAATCAGTTAATAGCGAAATAACTATTATACTATGATATCAATTTCATTTAACTTTATTCAGTGGAAGGAGAGAGAGACAGACAAAAACAATACATTTTGCAATTCATAAATTGTGTAAATTTTATAATAAATATTATACACGATGTGATAAAATTGATATGATCTTTTTTTTTGGGGGTATTATTGGATTTTAAAGGGAAGTCTCTTTATTAACATGTGTTAGGATATATAATGACATTAAAAGGAGATTAGATTATGTAAAGAGAGACATAAATTCTCATCTTTTCATTCCATCTCTCTAGTCAATGATTTTCAGTATACATTGTCTTTTTTCGAATAGACACAATACTACTTTACACATGTATTATTTTCAAAATCTTGGAGTAAATCTTGAAGTATTCTTCCTCGTTGGAAACTTAAAATGACTTGTCACAATATAAATATGATACTAAAGCTGAGCCACGACTCGTAGACCACATCTCATCAACGTATTTTTCCTCTTAAAAATACTATAATACTTAGAAAAAGAGTTCGGTTTAATTTCATTCCATCATATTGACAACCAAAATTTATCACATCAAAATTATATTTAAATTATTTTAATCAAATAAATGCTGGAGAAAAAGCTACGGTAAGTAAGATTAAGAGGGAACACATGAAAAAATAGTCATAAATTTAAATTTATATATAGGTGATTTCAAGACCTATCTTGAATGTGTGTTGTTTATACACGTATAGAGGAACTGAGTCACTAGTAATGAAACAATTTGATGCCACTCAATCTAATTGAGTTTCTGAGATAGGGTTGGGTTATAATTTTGAAACAAAAAAAAAAAAGGATTAGGGAGTTATAATAACTTTATATAAATAATATATTATTATATTTTTTTTATTATTTACTTGTCGACACGGATAATATTCACCACCAATCGGGGCTCCACATATGGTATCTAACCGAAAAGGCTTCACAGGTAGGAATATTTGAGGTATGATCTAGTCTTCGTTCACTTTAACCTTAAAATTATTGAATTTTGAATTTTGATGATGAAATCAATTGATGAGTTTATGATCTAATGAGTATTTGAAAAAAGTGACACATGACTAACTTCGACTATAGAAAGATAAATCGATTGAAGCTGGAGAATCAAACGTTAGGCCGGAGAGGATCATGTTAGAGATCGGGCATCGGGCTGAAAGTATCGGGCATTGCGCCAAGATCGAATGTTACATGAGATCAATATGTCAATGGATCGGGCAATATATCGCAGGAAAGAACAACACGTTAGAAGTTCGGACAAAGTGTCGAATGAATTATGATATGTCGGACAATATATGATTCATGATTATAATCAATTTATATCTTGATCAAAGTAGTTTAAAATTTAATTGAGTTGGTTTTGGGTGTAACCATACTAGTTTAATTAAGGGCCCATTGGGCCTGAATTAGGATTGAATTTGGTTTATTTGAAGGCTAATTCAATGACCTAAGGTTGGCCCAAGCGGTAGAACTGCTTGTGAGTTGGAAAGTACGAAATATACTTTTCCAAAAAAAAACCAATGGTGGTATTATCAGGGTCAGCGATGGTACCGTCTAGTGTCATGTGGTGGTACTGTTCAGACTAGCGATGGTATCGCTTAGGCAAGCAGTGGTACCGCCAGTGCATAGGGTGGTAAGCATGGTATCGCGAGTACCTTGAAAACATAGGGATTTAAATTTTTGACTTCATTTCTGAAGATATTTGAGGCCTATAAATATCCCTCTCATGCTTGCATGCAATAGTATAAAAAAACATATGATTTTAAGTGTGTAAACTCTCTTAAAATATTGAGTCTTTTCCTCCTTGAGTTTAGAAGTCTTTCTAAGGGAGAAGTGAGGTATTGTTGTAAAATAGAGGTATGAAGATTCTCTCTCGAGCCTATGAAAAGGAGAAAGGATTGTAATAAAGGTAGTTGATCTTCATGAGAAAGGATTGTAATAAGGGTAGTTGATCTTCACCAATTGAAAAGAAAATCGGTAGTAAAAGTCGATAGCCTCGAGGGAATATGAATTAGGAGTGGACATAGGTCAGAATGACCGAACCACTATAATATTTTTCTTTAGTTGCTTATTAGCTTTACTTATATTATAAGTTAAACACATTTATGATACGAGTTTCATCGAATAAATTTTCAAATTGAAATTTTACGAAAGGACAGATAGGTCCAATGGATTGGATTCCCTTGTATCATCTGGGGACTGCGACGTAGTGGCCTAGTACGTCTACAGTCGATGAGTCGAGTGAATTATTATAGAGATAATAATTCACTGAGCCAGAAGGAGTTCTGACGGGTATGACTCATGGCTAGCTCGATGTTGGGCCTAGAGAGTCACACATATATAGTAGGCGTTGCGATTAGTAGAGATTCGAATATGAGATATTCGTCGGAGCTCCTATCTTATTAGATATCCAATAAGCCTCTGAATTATTAGATCCTATAGATGAGATCCAATAAAAGCCAATGAGAGATTATTGGATAGAGATCCACTAATCTAATAGGCTTGGGTAGTTTGATGGAGATCCAATACCCAATATGGTAGGATCCATTAGGGTTAAGTTGACAAGGGACCTCTATAAATAGGAGGGAACTAATGCTTCATAGGCTAGAGCTTTTTGGTTGTCTCTCCTATTCTCCTCCTTCTCTCCACCTCAAATAGTAGGCCTGGAGTTTTAAGGAGCATCGTCGTAGCCCTACTATGTATATCACCGCCAGAGAGGAGGGCGCTTGACCTCCTTCACTCTCTCCTAGAGATCTGTAGGGATTCAAGGATATATGATCTCCCTAGGTAATATAATTTTTAATATACACAATTTTCTATTTTACGGATGCATGATGACGAACACATATTTGGGAATTGAAGTTTTTATTTTTTATATTCTTCCATTGCGCATGTGATGTCGCCCCCAAATTTTCCAACACTAAAGCACCTGACCCTTTTCCTTGAATATCAAAGGAAAAGTATTGGTGATGGTGTATATCAAACAATTAAGACGGAAGGCTCGATGAAGAAGTAACGCCTTTTCAAACTTTTTGTGGAGGTTAGGTCATCCTTCACCTTAAATACCTCTCAAACTATAAAACAATATCTAATGATCCTCTTGTAGACTTGAAAACAGAAGTGTAATGAGATAATATCATAAGTTAAACACCATTTAAGGTGCGATGTCCTCCACAATTGGAGTCACAACTTGATCAACGGATGAAGAGGGACCTAAGCCTAACCTCAAACACATCGATAAAGAGACAAAGATATTTAAATATCGGATCATGGGTATAATTGGAACCCAATTGGGATTGAGTACTTAAAGTGCAAGTGCTCAATATACTTGGGAGTTAGGGTAGAATCATGATCATAATTATCCTTTATAATATGAAGATTCATGAAAACCTTTAGATCCACCTTGCTATCTCTCCCAAGAAAGAAGATGATGACACACTCCCTCCCTTTAACTATATGAGGAGACGACTTTGAGCCCCTTAATTATCCATTAGTTAAGGGATCAACACTTGGAATGACTAACAAGAGGATATATTACCAACTTAAGATAAAAGAAAATGAGTGATGCTTTAAAAGTCCGAGGAGTAGAAGGTGAAGACAGTAGGCTAAAGAGACTTAGAGAGAGGACTCAAAATGAGTTCTCACTTATATGATAGTTTATCTGAGAGTTATCTTGTCAATTATATCTCGCTCATCGACTCATGAGTGTTGACTATTAGTGAAATCATCAAAGCAAAAGTTGCTTAATGCACCCTTCTCAAGTTAAGCATTTAAGAGCTACTTAATGTGTCTTTATCTGACCAAACATTCAAAGGTTGACTGATGTGCTCTTCTCAAACTAAGCATCCAAAAGTTGCACGATATGACATTCTCAAGCTAAGCATCCAAAAGCTACTTGATATGCCTTGATCGAGTTAAGCATCTAAGAGTTATTTGATATATCATTCTTAAGCCATGCATTCAAAACATGCCTAATATGTTATTCTTAGCAAGCATAACTGATACACTCTCCTCAAGTTAGACATTAAGAGTTACTTGATATATCCTTAGACTAAGCATATGATATCTACTCAATGCGTCCTTATAAAACCTTCATGATTCAAAGAGGGAAGGAGGGAGGACATATCATAGGAATAATGTTTATCAAGTTAAGATATATAACATCCTAATTAATAGAACAAACACAAGTTAAGATCACCAAATTGGCCTATGTCAATCTGATTCTTTTCGCTTCTCTTCGTGGATAATATTTTTCTAATTACTTGGAATTGGAGAAGCCTACAAAAAGCTCCCACAAGCACAATTATTGAGGTTTAATCTCTTTCTTCACTTTAATCTTAAAACAGGGATCAAATTCAAAATTTTACCTAACTTTTTTAGATCGACTCGATAGTTTGAAGCTCCTAAGGTACATCAAAAGATTTCTAAAGCATATTGAGTGCGATATAAGTTGGGTTGATTAAATTATTATCGACATCCTTCCTATCACTCAAGTGCGGAAAGAAAAAGAAATAATATAATTTTTACATGTAATTTTCAAGTAGTGATCATACGTATAATAAATTCAAATTTAAAGAAATAAATATGCAAATCACATACTATATATATATATATATATAAAATTGTCATTAAAAAAAAAGAAGGTAGCGTCGTTTGTGGTTTGGACATTTTGATCAGATGAACACTTTTCGTGATCTGAGAGCTGGCCACCTGATGACCGTTTGTTCTTGATCTAACGACGTCGAGTGAATGCATAAACCCTAGGTTTGATTCTCCAATATCTTCCTCAACTCCGCCCTTGAGATTCCTATTCGGTCGCATCGTCCCCCCTCTCCGTATATCCTTGACTTCCCGGCTGCCTAAGAAGAGTTCTTCCGCGACTTCCGTCACCGAAGGCCGGAGTGGCGTTTGGATTGAAGACGTTCTCTTCCCTCCACCATCTCAGGCGGGGGGCCGTCGTGCCACCGGTTTTTCTTCGATTTTTTTGTAAGGTGGAGAGTTTTTTCTTATCGATCATCGTTGTTATGTCTTTTCTGGTTCTTTTTTCGCTTGGCTTTAGAGCAATTTGATTAGGAAATACCTTAATGTTTATTTTTCTACTTTTGAGACAGCGTCTTTTTTCCCGTGTAAATAATGGAAGCTTAGTACACTGGACCGCTAAGCACCGATCGGTATTTTCCGGTGTCGATATGAACCGGTAGCGGACTCGATCCATTTAGGCAGTCCGGACCGGTCCGGTCCGATCACTATATAATGAAAAAAAATTCTCGCTCTTAATCGCCCTAATATCGAGCTCCACGCGACCTCCCCGCCGCCGGCCTGCTGCCGGCCCGCCGCTGCCTAAATCCTCTATGCTCCACCGCGCGTCGCTTAGTGGGTACGGTCCTATTTTCATCCTCCTCCACCGCCTCTTCTTCTTCCTTCTTCTTTCTCCTCCTTTCACTTTCTTCGCTGCCTCCTCTTCTTTTCTTCTACTAGTCGGTACGAAATTGCACCTTGAGTGTAATATAAAGAAATGAAAGCCAAGTTAAAAATCGTATTGAATTGTTATGTAAGTGGATGTGTAACAATCTGATTTTTTGAACTACAGTTGAAAACAATCCTACTAATGGATGGGTTGGGTGGGATTTCCAAGCTGAGCCAGATGTAAATTTTAAACTTTTATCGGTTATGCATGTGCAGATCCGGACTTTTAAATAGGATTTTCTTAATATGATTAAATCCATATTGATCTCAACCCAAGTGCGGCCCTTTACTTTTTTTGTATGCCTAGTAACGGTGATTGAATATTTCAATATCATTACCGATAAGGTTCTATTGAACTAAGTTTATTCAGTGTACGTATGTTTTTTTCATTTAAAGCAATTTTGTATTAATTACATAATGGAAGGATTGAGCCAATACGATAGTATATGGTCAGTGTTGGGAGTTTTCAAAGTTTAATGAAGCATCTTATAGTGTTTTACATAAACTTCATCAAATTCTCCTTGAAAAATCAGTCAGGGATGATCCAGGGGCACCAATTGCAAAAGAAAAGGAAAAAGAAAAAAAGAGTAAGGTAGAGATAAGAATGCATAGATCTTGCAGTTCCAGCTTCATATGGCCATAGTTGTTGCAAGGCCCATGCTTCTGGGTCATCTCCTTGGAAGTAAAGAGGTGTCGTTGTTAATATGGATGGATGGCAAGACTCATTAAAGTGGACAGTGGACTTATTACAATCTCAGATGGAATGGAGGTTTCCTTGAAGAGTGCACCTCAATGGGCCTGCCATTGAAATTTTTTAAGGTCAAGGGTAGAAAATTTTAGAAAAAAAGGGTGATTTGTGGCTATTTTTCTTTTGATGCCAATGTAGGATCTGAAGAGGGTCAATGTATGTAGTTTTACCTTTAAATATTTAAAGAGATTGTTTTCGTGATTCAAACCCTGGTCCCTCAGGACGCAAAGGAATAACCTTATTGTTGTACCAAGGCCCGTCCTCGTTATTTTCAATCTTTGATCAATTACATTGCATTTCTAAATCACATGGATGCTTTAAGAATATCTATTTAGGAATAATTTTGTTCTTTAGTCTCTAATTACGTATTTATTATTTTTGATAATTTTTATTATTTTTAAAGAAAGTTTATGCACTTTTTATTTTCATGTAGGTGTTGCATAGTAGAATTAATAAAAATAGAAGTGCTAAAAAATGTATAAATTATATAAAATGGCATAACATTCATGTGGTTGAAGAAAGGAAAAATAAAGATTATGCTCTTAAATTCACAAAGCAATTAATTCAAGATTTCAATTAAGAAAACTAAATGATGTTTTGTATGTAAAATAGATAGATTTGAGTGCATAATTTGTCTCTATGTTCTTGTGTTAGATTTTTTAAATTTTTAAATTTTTAGTTGATTTTCATATTCTTTTCATTTTTTTCTGAAACCTGATCCTCTGATCTGTGTTGTCCAATCCAGCCGATCCTATTCTATCTCAATGGTTTTTTCAAAATTGTCAATCCTGGTTCTGTTTGTAAAGCCTTGTTATTTAGCTTTGGAAGTACCATTAACTTATCTGGCATTTTCTTTATATTAATTGGGATATTGCCAATTTGAATTTTCTCTTCCTTCTATATATGCAATTTATAAAGTCGTCGAATACTGGTTTCACTAACTATTGGAATTTGTGTATTGTTGTTGAAATTTAATAAGGTACTCAAATCAAGGCCGATTGCGGTGACCGCTTACACGATGGATCCGGTAAGTCAACTTGTTCATTGATTTTTGATAGGGTGTAGTAGTGGCCAGTAGCCACATTGAATTGCTTCCTCAATTAACTTTAAAACCCACCTGGTTTTGAACTTCTCTATAAATTCATGAGTTTTGATGATTGAATATGCTTTCTAATTTAGTGCTAATCGAAGAGGAACTGAATTGTGTCCTTTATACCATGTATACATTCCTGTGAAAACTTCAATGTACTATTTTAATATCCTCTCTTGAAATAGGTTTTCCAAGAAGATTTGTAGTTATTTTGAGACTAATTATAAGCAAAAAGAAATGGATTTAGAATTGTCTATAAATTCTGTGCAGTCTCAGGAGGATGAGTTGGAAAGGATGACGAGGAAAATACGGTTGTTGATTATTGTCTTATTTTCCTTCTTTTTAATGATAGTACCAAATATATTATTCATTATACGCATCTTTAATAATTGAGTAATCCATTTCGTATTTGCAAGTGTAAAGTTTTTCTATGTAATACTATGACAATATTTTTATTTTTGATTGAATGTTGTTTGGAACTTTCTGGATACCGGCCTGTGCATAAATTCTGAAATTGTGTCCAACGACTTGTTGTTTGCAAGTCTATATTTGTGGTTGGCATTCAAAGCATTAAGTATTAACTGCCTTCATTTTCCTTGAATGGTTTTGCAAATCCTTTATTTAGTGTGCAGTCCAATAATAGTAAATGATCCTACTTTTGTGTGTTGCATCATTATTACTAATTCTTTTATTTGTATATCTATTTTAGATACACTTTTTGTTCACTTTATCATTGCTAATTTATTGAGCATTATCTTCAAACTTATGTTTTGTATGCCATTAAATTAATAATCATGGTATATTTTGTTTCTTAATATTTTGATTGGGTAATTAAGCCACATATAATTCTACCAAGGTTCTGAGGTTGCATCTTTGTAATTTGTATTCTAAATGACTATGTACTATCTTCCTATTTCTGTACCAAATAATTTAACATTTTCACTCGGATTTATTAATGGCATTTGCAGATTGAAGATCAAGATCTGGAGAGGAAACTAAAAAAGGAGCAAAAGGTTTGTTGTTTGTGAGAATCCATTCCCTACTTATTATTTCCACTAAAAGATGTATGCCACTTTACATGCTTCAGGAGCATTATAAATATGGTAAAATCCTTAATTTGAAGTTATTCAATTATTATGCTTAAGGTTCTTTTCTACCAAGATTTCTTCTTTAATACCTTAAAATTGCTAGCAACATATTGATGCTGAAGTACTGTGTTGATTTTGCATTCAGAACTTTTTTAAAACTTAATAATGAAATTAGGAACTAGATTTTTCTCTTTGTTATTGACACTTACACACTAAGTTCTGGTGAATTATTTTCCCTTTCATGTCTTTGAAAGATTCTATTTCTGCCACTGAGAACAGTTACCGTGTGCAGAATCTACTAGACCCCATTTGTTCCTTGCAAGTTTTGATCTGTCAGTTTGGGAATTAATACAGGCCTTGGTTGGATCAACGTGGTGCCTTTTTTTGGGTACTGGTCAAGAAAAAAATTAAAAAAAGAAAAGGGGAGGATCGGGGAACATACATGCTTCCTTTTTTCCTCTGTCTTTCCACCTCTCTTGTTCCCAGTGGCAGCCAAACTCAGGATGTTGGTCACAACACAGAATGTTGCCTAGTTATTTTTGTTTCCTTAACTGCTTTTTTTGTTTGGTTCCAGAGTTAACTTGCTTACTTCACATTAACAGGCTAAACTGAAAGAAGAGAAAAAACTTAAGGCTGCACAAAAGGCAGAAGCTGCAAAACTCCAGGTAACAATATGTCACTTGTTTTCAAGCTGGCATGTGTTTATGAATTACAAAATATAGTTAATTCTTTTAGAGCCAACCCCAAATAGTTGAGACTTATGGCTTTGTTGTTGTTGGTATTATAGTTAATTCTTTTAGACAATATGTAATTTTCAGTTGGTAATGTAGATCTTAAATCTCTTCAATAATGTTGCTTGAAAGGCACAAAGGTCATCTGATGGAGCTAAGAAGAGTGAGCGAAAACAGAGGAAAAGAGATGTTGAAGAAGAGAATCCCGAGGATTTTATGGACCCTCTTACCCCGGTTGGAGAGAAAAAGCAGCTCTCTCGTCAAATGGCCAAGCAATACAATCCCAGTGCTGTTGAAAAATCGTAAATATTTTTTGAGTGTTTCAAATAGGAATTAAAATTATTGTAGATTCTAATAATCTTTTGTTGTTCATTTTACTTAGATGGTATTCATGGTGGGAAGCATCAGATTTCTTTACAGCAGATGCAAGCAGCCCAAAACCATCTTTTGTTATTGTAAGTGTTTTGCAGATTTTTAAAATTTGTTACTTTGGAAATGACTCGTGTATTTGTTTTACTTTGGCATTGACCATGAAGTAAAATTTTACCTTATTGTTTAATTAGTTGAGAAGTTGTTTGATCATCGAGTCTTTATATAGGAAAATTGAGAGCAGACAACTAGCTGAAGACTACTAATTCTTGTCAGTGACTGCATCATTCTATCTTGACATATTTGCTAGTTAAATAAACAACGTAACAATTTTGTAAGTGCATCAGAAAATGGTTCCTTGGTTGCCTTTTACTGTGGATTTGTGCTGATCTTACCTTATTAATTTTTGTGAGCTATAGAACTTAGAAAACCAAGCAAGGGAGGGCAACGTAAAAGATGGTAAGGAGATGATCAAACAAAGAAAAAGATAATATGGGGGAAGTAGTGTGGCTTAAATTGGTGTATTTCTCCTTTATTTGGCCAAAATAATTTGACTATCTTGTCCTTTGATATGAATTTATCTATAGGATTGTGTGAAGTGGAAAATAAACAAACTCTCTCTATATGAAGGAGGTTAGTTGTGTATAATATTTGGTTCTGATTCTTGTACTTTTGATTTGATTTACTCCTTTTATATATTCTATATCAACAAGGATAGTGCGATAATAAAATGAAAGGGGATGCCTAGTAGGAGAATAAAATGTTAGGAGGAAGTGGGAGCCAAGAAGATGAAAACAAGTGGGAGAGGATAAAAGCTAATTGGATTTGTTATCTTTCTAGTTTTCGTTCATTATTGCCTTCTTTGTGTATTTGAGTTCTCAATGAAACATGTTATGAACAAAAGATAAGACAATCACCATCTCATTATTATAAATAAAGATCATGGAAGAACTTCTAAGCATGCTAGTATTTCCGGATCAAACCATGCCAAGCGCTCATAGATATTCACAACTTATTTTATGTTTATCATTATTTCTTCCTCAGGTACTTCCACCTCCAAATGTGACTGGTGCTCTTCATATAGGTCATGGCCTTACTGCTGCTATACAGGTGAGTGTACATTAAGCCTTTTCTTCTCTGGTTTCATCTTTTGATCTTGCTTTGTATATCAATGCTTCATTTCTGTACTACTTTTAATGTTTGTGTCTGGCATGCTTGCCTGATCTAGGACACAATTATCCGTTGGAAAAGAATGTCGGGCTACAATGTTCTATGGGTTCCTGGAATGGACCATGCTGGCATAGCAACCCAGGTAGTAATTCTTTATATATCAGCTTGTAAATTATTCTAAGCTTGATCTTCTATGATCTCCATGAAGCTGTAGGACATGATCTTTTATTTACTATGCAATATTGAGTATGACAATTATGATGCTTTTACAGCGGGATTGAAAATTGAATGTGCATGTTGTTGCTTGAACCTTTCAAATTATTGTTTGTAAGTTGTGGGAGATGGCAATTCTTCCATTTTAAGTTGAGTGGAAAGACTTTAGTCTCCAGCTACAACTAGTCTGCTCAAGTTTGATTCAAATGGTCAAAATATCCTTGGTGCTGTTTCTATTGGTTCAAACAGAATTTAGATTATTGATGTAGGATCTGCCTGCCTTATTAGAACATCGATGTTCATGACAAAGAGTTGTAGATCTTGAAAGGTGGCCAAATCACTTTACTATTTGCAAAGACCTATAAATCGTTTCAAAATTCATTAAATTATCAATATGGTCCTTTTGGGTTGCATTAGAAGGAATTATCACTATAAAGATATTCCTGTAGTTGATTCACTGTATCAAGAAGTATGAAATACTTGAGAACATGATCAGCTAAACTGGATGTAAGTTTGAAATGACTAAATCTTGGTCATGTTAGATTTTTTTTAATTACAAGATGTCCATTTAGCACATTTTAACTGAAAGTCAAGTTCAAGCTTTATTGATGCTTCTAAGCACACAAACAAGAACTTTGTAGTAGATCTCGTGACTCGTTTTTGTAGTCCTTTAAACTTTTGTTATTGTGTAAACATGATTTCACATTGGAGAATCTCTGTCATGGAAAATATTTAATATGTTAGTTTGTATTGGGGTGTTAATTATATTGTCCATTAAACTAGTGAATCTTTTGAGCAAGTTTGTCAATTTTGATCAAATGTGGTTGTGGTTAGTTTTTACATAGGCCTATAGAGTAGTTACACCGTTAATCATTTGTGTGTTGATCTGTCCTTCATATAAGGTAAAAGCCCCACTCTTGACAAGAAAATCTACATTGTCTGTGTATGCTCACCTTTCTATTTTCCTTATGATGAATGCTTTGTGAAGCTAGAAGCTTTTTTCAGTGTTTTCGATCATTACTTAAATTATATTTTCCAAGGTTTGATTTACCAGTCCGAGCCGGTGTGTCGACTGATCGGCGGCATGGCACGTGCTGCTTCGTGTCGGTGTACCAACACGGTACGTTGGTGCGTACTGATGTTTCGACGAGGAAGTAAAAGAGGTTGAAAAGGAAGGTCCCGTGGAGGAATACAGGAGGAAGGAGAAAGGAAGAAGGAAGAAGAAGAAGAAAGTGTGGAGAAGTATTGCGATACTTGGGAAGCGGTAGTATCACAGCGGCGAAGAGGCAGTGCTGCTGCAGCATTGCAATGGCGAAGCGGCAAAAGAGGCAGCATCGCTGCAGCATCACAGTAGAAAATCAGCGAAGAGGTAGCATCGCTGCAGCGGCGAAGTGGCAAAGAGGCAATGCCACAGCTTCGTACATGAGAAGAGCCCTAATATGTTTTTTTTAACGCCGAAATGGACTGGGGCTAACCATTTTTTGATTTTTTTATTATTTTATTACAGACCGCTCAAAACGGGGTGGTCCGTGTATTGGTCCACGCCTGGACCGATATGTACCGCCAAAATCGTGCCATTTCGGGTGGTACAGCAATGCCTGGTATTTTCCATATTTAATGCTGTCAAAGGTCGAGTCATGTCTAGGTTAGAGTCCACTGTGGTCAAGCTTGGATCTAATTTGAATTTCAGTCATCTTTTCAGTTTTGTTATGTTGTAGGAAGATGGAAAGGTCCAATTAATGTTTCATAATTAGGCAAATACCTTCCAATTACAATGGTTCTTTTTTGCAAGGGAGCCTTATATGTTTGACAAATATGGCTGAATAAATCCTGTGTAAGATTCACTCAAGTTTCTGCAGCAGCTTGTCATGGAGATTTTTTAAAGAGCCCATATAGGAATTGTCTTGAAAAGGAAAGATTAGGTTAAACAGGCAGACCTGGTGCATGTGGGTTTCCATTTCAAGAGTCTAGTTTTAGGATATATTATTTGTGTGAACAGTAATTAGTGTGTCTGAGGACATCATTGCAGTGCATGCCTTCTTTTTTTCTATTTTGTGCTCCTATCCTGTTCTCTCTCTCTCTCATGCTTCCTTTTCCTCTTCTCTGCCACAAAAAAACCTACAGCAACTTTTTATTTGTAGTTTTAAATTAGACTTAGCATAGTGACAGATAGTTAAATCTGTTCATTTAGTGACCTTGAGAGATCATGTCATCATATTTCCTTGATTATGCTGCTAAAATTGATCATCAAGAGCCTTTCTTGTGCCCCCTGAATAGGCTTCAGAATGTGTGAAGCTATGACCAAAATTCATTTTGTCATGCCCATCTTGTTAGGATCATTGATTTCAAGATGGGATTTTTGACTTTCTGCATCAAGGCCTTTTGCATCCCTGTTTATTCTCAATGCCATTTGTGGAAAATTGAAAGCAAAATTGAGCTGTTGTTCTAGTTGTTTCAGACTATCCTTATCCCTGAATTACAAATAAAGTTCCGCTTGTAAAAAAACAACTTATATTTTGTTATTTTAAGTAGCAATTACTTAGCCTTATTTGCCTTACCTTTTGATAAATGATTTTCTCATTCGATTCCCTAAAGTTAACCATGCAATATCTATCATGAACAGATGCTGAGTTATGTTGTGAAAAATACACTCAATCAATTCAAGTGCCTTCTTTTATTAGTTTGTTATTTTTACGTATATATGTATTTTATTAACAACATGATTTAAATAGTGATACCTGTACTTCATCAGAATGTTGTGGTTCCAATGCTATGGACTGGTAAGGTATGGGACTTAGTATGTCATATATCAACCATTATGATATGGGTGGTAACTGATACAATAATGGACTAGATACTGATTTTTGTAGCATGGTTGTTACACTGCCAGTTAATTATTACGAACAGAGTATTAACAGCAATGAGTTGTTATTACTGTTACTTTCCATATAGTTTGATGTAGAGGGAATTGTGATTTTAAAATAGAAAATATTATGATGTAAATTGTAGAACTCTCTGCAATACTCTTGTAGTATATTCTTAAATGCTAACCTTGTCATACTTTGATATAGAATTTAAATCCAATTTCAGAATTCTTCTAATGATTTTGTGCTGCCACATTATATGTTATGGATAAATGGCAAAAGTAGAAGTGCTTCCACTGGTACAAGTACAACCATCCCCCAAACGCAGTTTGTTTATTAAATTTTCTGGATCATGGCACCTTATAATTTATTGTCATCAATATAACTTGTTTGCTTCTATGCAATGTGTGTTATCTGATATGTCTATTGAAGGTTTTGATAGCTGATCACTCGATTAACATGTCTCAGGTGGTCGTGGAGAAGAAGTTGATGCAGGAAAGAAAATTAACGAGGCATGATCTTGGGCGTGAAGGGTTTGTGTCTGAGGTGGGTTATTGCTTTCTTATGAATGTTTTTTTCTCCTCTTACCCTTTAAAACATTTTCTGTACGTTTTTGTTATTAGCTGATTTTTGGTATGTATTTTTTTATCACAATAAATGAACTTTTTGTTATTGCCAAATTAATGCTTTCATAGTGGTTTCTCAATTGATATTCTCTTCTTTTCTCCTTGTGTTTATTAGGTTTGGAGATGGAAAAATAAGTATGGAGGCACCATCCTAAACCAAGAGCGTCGATTGGGAGCTTCACTTGACTGGTCTCGTGAGGTCAGTTTAGGAGATTCCAAGTGTGATTGCTTGTTAACTATCTCAGAAAATGAGTTTCTTATATCATGTCCTTGTTTCATAAAACAGTGCTTCACAATGGATGAGGCAAGATCAAAGGCAGTAACAGAGGCTTTTGTCAGGCTTTATAAAGAAGGCTTAATCTATAGGTTGGCTGGCACAATCAGTATCTTCAGTTTATTTTAAGCAACTGCAGACATGCTAGAAAATTTCTCATTCCTAGTGCTGGAAATAATAAATTTTTCTGTAAAAATAGGTTTTCTGTTGTCCTATACGTCTATAATTTCTATAACTAATCATGTTCAAATTTAGTAGATTCATGAACTATCAAATCAAATTAATTAGTATTATTTCCAGGGATCATCGCCTTGTGAATTGGGACTGCACATTACGAACAGCAATATCTGATATTGAGGTGTGGGTGTATTCTTATAATTAATTTGCAACTATGAGTATCTTATTCTTATTTTGTCTGGTTGGTAATATCAGGTTGATCATGAGGACATCAAAGAAGAGACTTTTAGAAAAGTCCCTGGTTATGATCATGATGTTCAGTTTGGTGTTTTGACTTCTTTTGCCTATCCACTTGAGGGAGGTTTGGGTGAGATTGTAGTTGCCACCACAAGAGTGGAGACAATGCTTGGTGATACTGCAATTGCTGTTCATTCTAAAGATAAACGTTATGCTCATCTTCATGGAAGATTTGCAGTTCATCCATTCAATGGGAGGAAGCTTCCAATAATCTGTGATGATATGCTTGTTGATCCTGAATTTGGAACTGGGGCTGTCAAAGTAAGCATATTGTACATCTTCAACAAAAATTTTTTACTTGACCATTCTTTGTGCCTTTCTCTGAATGTAAAATTCTTTTATATCTATATATTGCAGATTACGCCAGCTCATGACCCTAATGACTTTGAAGTTGGAAAACGCCATAACCTTGATTTCATTAATATCTTTACTGATGAAGGGAAGATCAATATCAATGGTGGTGCAGACTTTGAAGGGATGCCACGATTTGCAGCTCGTGTGGCTGTTATTGAGGCATTGCAGGCAAAGGTATCAATTTATTTGCTGTTTCAATGGCCACAGAGTAACAGCATATATCCATTATAATCCAGCTCCAGTCCTTGTTTAATTTGATTCATTGCATCTAAAGGTTCAACTTATCAGTAGCATTTAGTGCACCATTTCTACCTTCGGCATTTTGTATACCATTTTCTACCTTTAACCTCTTCCTTGTGTTCCAGAGTTGGAAAGCACTTTGACCTGGTGTAATTGTAAACTTTCACTTGTCAAGTTGATTAGGTGATGTATTATTGGTTGTTCTTATGGAATATTGTTAATCTAAGCAGCCGTGGAGTATTCAATAGCATGAGCAATTATCAGTTATGATTATTATTTTATAGAAGCTTGTATTGGAAATGTCAAACATCTCAATTTTTAACTATCTTGTGGATATTATTGAAAAGTTTTGTATTCTTGTGTGCTTTATTTAGCAAATAGTGTGATTCTTTTCTACTGCTAATTGCTGTGGATCATGCCAATTTTCCATACAGTAGTAGAAATTGCTGTGGCTATGGTCATACTTTGCACATGTTTTTAGCTTTGTATCAGCTCATAAAGTAAAGCTAGTTTGGTGGAAAACAGAAAAGACAAAAACTTGAACAGGATATATGCACCTTTTCCACCTGTAATATAACATTGTTGGAACTGATATTTTTTGTAATTAGCTCTAAGTTAACTTGCTAAGAGTTGGCACTTATACCCACTGCAAATGCAGTTTTTTGCTTCTTTCCCTTCGTTTCATTACAAAGTCTTTAATGTGTCAGTTTCCATAAAAACAAAATATTTCATGGAACAGGGACTGTACAGAGGAACTCAGAAGAATGAAATGAAGCTTGGCATTTGTTCAAGAAGTAATGATGTGGTAGAGCCAATGATAAAACCTCAGTGGTTTGTTGATTGTAAAAGCATGGCAAAACTATCTCTTGATGCAGTCCTGAGTAGAGACAACAAGAAAATTGAGATCATTCCACATCAGTATGAACAAGAATGGAAAAGGTAATTCAAATTCTTGGATCATAAACGTGACATTGCTTGTATATTTCTCTAGCTGTGTAGATTGTTATATGGTAACTTATATTGGAGTCGATGATTTGGTTTTCTGATCTTCGTCAATACAGATGGCTAGAGAATATACGGGATTGGTGCATTTCAAGGCAGCTTTGGTGGGGTCACCGCATTCCTGCCTGGTATGTCACACTTGAAGATGACCAGCTTAAAGAAATGGGTTCTTACAATGACCATTGGGTGGTTGGAAGAAATGAGCAGGAAGCAGTTTTGGAGGCACAGAAGATCTTCCCAGGGAAGAATTTTGAGATTGCACAAGATCCAGATGTGTTAGATACATGGTTCTCATCTGGTCTTTTTCCATTATCTGTGCTTGGCTGGCCAGAAGTTACACCAGATTTTAAGGCATTCTACCCAACTTCCTTGCTTGAAACTGGACACGATATTCTCTTTTTCTGGGTAGCTCGGATGGTTATGCTGGGAATGAAACTTGGAGGTGATGTGCCCTTCAGAAAGGTAACAGCATGAAAATGATATGCATATGTTGTAGGAATTTTATGGGATTACGGGTGAACTTGTTCGTGGTGGGTCCAAGGTTACAAATATCGTTCAGCTTGGTACCGACTGATACTTACCAGTCCAACAAAGGACTGTTATCTGATCATATGGTCCTATACTGGTCGGTCTTATTTTTTATTGTTTTTTCAGGCTGGTATCTGGTGCTACATGTCAGTCTGGTACACCTGTACTGTGCTGTTTTGGTAGATCATCAGAACTGTTACTGGACCATGATTTTTGATCTTTAGTGGAATAGAGACTGAGTACTCAGAAGAAACGAAAAATGTTTGTCAACATTGACTTCCAACAGAATATTTACTCAACTCCCCTCCCTGTAAACCTTGTGTTTAGGCTATTCAGCCAAGAAAGTGCAATGTGAATTATTGCATGACTATGTGAATTATCTTACGACAGCTGATTTTATAGATAAAAAGGTCAGTTTTAAAGTATACTCTGAAACCCATAGTTCTAAAACTGTGATGCAGCCTGGGCTGTTTTAGGATTTGGGAGACCGTAAAATCTTCTCTACACTCTTCATTGGCTGGAGACTTGTACATTGGACCATCCTTTTTCCTAAGGGAATAGCAAGGACCAAAGAAATTAGACTGTATATCAAATTTTAACTGTGTAAAGCAGGAAAGGTGGAGTCAGTCAAACCTTGTTTTTAAGTTTATAATTGAGCACCACTTGAATTTTCATTCTAAATCTAATCTGATGGTAAACATGTGGACTTCTTTTTCGTGGAACCTATTCACTTGTCCAGAGCAGCCGAGGATTTTTGAACGATAAGGACAAACCGAGGAAGTGAAACAAAACTACAAATCGAGCTCTAAATGTTCAGCCTTGATAACTCTTGACAGAATTCGTTAAACATGAGCAAAAGCTGGTAATTCAAGGCAATAAAAAATCTAAACATTAGTCAGTCATTTTTTGACTTAGCAATGCAGGAGGTTGAGAGAATTGTAATCCCATGAAACATTTAGAATTGGAACAGGGAAATATTTTTTCTTGGGTTAGGCATAGTTTTTGAAAACTGAATTTATTTGCCTTGCCAAATTTTTGAGGATTCTATGTTAAGGAACAACATAGGTTCAGGAGGTCGAGAGAATTAGATGGAGATATACTATAAGAAGGGGATTGAGAAATTACAGAAGAAATACTAAAAGGGAATAAGATACAGAACCAAATATATTGTGTGGTCTATGTTTTTTGAGCTGCCAAGTATATTGATGTAGGATAAGTTTACATGTCTAGAAATATATATCTTTTGACTTAAATTATGTCTCTTCCACCACTAGTATATTATGAGGAAAACATATTATTACTTAGGCATTCTTAGATCTTCAATTACAATTCATTTTCCTTTGTTATATACCGAAATATAAGAAAAAAAATACAAAAATAAAATATATTACAACAAAGATAAATCAATCATTTATATCTTTTTTAGCAAAGGCAAATTTTTAGATCTGTCTTGGGAAACAATTTTCTCTTTTGATAAAATATATTATTGATAGTCTTCTATCTTTGAACAATGATGATTCTTCCTTTTTATTTATGGAATTTTCAATTAAATCAAATTTTGATTTCTTTCATTTTTTATTGGCTTCCTTTTTCTTGTTGAGTCGAAGTGAGCTTGGTAGTTATCTTTTGTTTATTATCTTTTCCTTTTTTTTCTCTTCCTATATTCCTAAATAAAGAAAAAAATTATTGTATTGAACTTGTTTTATATCAGATTTGATATCATAGTTTTTATCCTACATTAAATTTAGTTGCCCAGAACGTGGAATGGCCTGCGTCTCAGGACGGGTACATCTTATTTTTAGTATTGGGTTCTGAATAGTAATGTTTGGGCTGGTGGACTGTAGGTTCTGTTGGTTTGTTATTTGAGTTTTGATACATAATGAATCACTTGAGTCACTTGGTACATTAGATTTAGTTTTAAAAATTTGTTAATAACAATGTTGCTAGAAGTCTCAGAGTCATAAAGCCTCTAAACTTGTTAACCTTTTTTTTGGCCATTTAGTGATTTAAGTTTCCTGCTTTTCTTGGAGAATAGCAATGTCCATAGCTTATACTAGTTATTAGCTAGCTCTGTATTTATAGAACCAAATGCTATTTGTGAAATAGAATCCCCAATTTCACCTCTTAAGTTTGCGTCCACAATGATCCAGGACATAAAATTATCGTGTATCAAGATGAGGAACCTAGATCTTGATTCCAGTGGTTTGGGAGGAAACCTGATAATATGGTCAATGAGGCTAATTGGTGTGTAGTTGGTTATTTGGTCTATTTGGTCTATTTGAGTTTCTTCATCTGAGGTGCCATTACCGTGGTGGTCTAGGAGTTTTATACTATTGCAATCGTAGTGGCATGGTGTAGTCCACTGCCTTGTTTACTTTGGTATGCTAATGGTAGGAAGGAAAAATGAGGTATTAAAATGGTCAGAGAAAAATGGACGTGCATCTTTTCCATTAACAGGTACTCATTGCCATCAACATTAGTGGCATTGGTGATTGACTATGCCACACCATCTTAGTGTTTCTGTCGATCTTTCCATGATATCAATGTGCTTTGAGCCATAGAATAAACAAAGTACCAGAGTTGTGAGCCTTATGAAACCTGAGTTGGGCTCTTTTTTACTTCTTTAATGACTAAAACCAGTATCAGACCAGTATTTGAAATCTTGCAGCACCAGTTGCTGGTTGGCAGCAATCTTACACTGCTGTGTTTTGATTTGCCAAGGCAGGTCTGTGCATGCCTCATCATTAGGGGTGTTTAAACCGGTTCGAACCGAACTGAATCGTTTTTTCAGTTCGATTCGGTTAAAGGAAGGTAGTCCGAACCGGAACCAATTTGGATATACTTAACCGAACCGATTCAAAACCGGTTAATCTGGTTCGGTTAATTGGTTAACGAATTTGTAATTTCAAATAATTAAAAAAAAATATTTCAAATGTACCGGTTCAATTCAATTGAATTGAATCAGAATTTTGGTCCAATTGGGCGATACAACAAGATTTTGAAATTAATCCCACGTTATTTGTAAAATTGGGCCTTTTGGTTGGTTTGAACCAGTTAAGTGCTTAGGATAGTGATCTCAACTGGATTGATATCCTTTAAATTAAAATCAGGTTTGGTTTGAACCGGTTAACCGAACGAAAGAAGGATACCCCCGAGCCAGAACCGTTTATAGCCTTCATAACCGAACCATTGGTGAACTGGTTCGGTTCAGATTCGATTTTGGTTAGGTTTGGTTTTCCGGTTTGATTTGAACACCCCTACTCATCATATGCATCAAGTTTTCTTCATGCCAAATTTTCCATTTATCAGCATCGATGCATTATTATCATGTGACTTTCAGGTGATCACTTTGTACAGTTCACTAAGTGTGCAATATGTGACAGTAGTTTGAGATGGATGATTCAGTGCTTTCCAATAGATATGTCTTTGATGTAATGAATATTGAATAGATCCAGGGGTATGGAGATGTTAGGAAGTGCTTGTGTTACTGAACACCTGCAGAGACTGGCTAACCCACTTGGATACTTTGTTCTTAATCATCCTCAGGTTTATTTGCATCCTATGATTCGTGATGCGCATGGCCAGAAAATGTCAAAGTCGAAAGGCAATGTTATTGATCCACTTGAAGTAATAAATGGCATATCACTAGAAGGGTTACACAAACGGTTGGAAGCAAGTAATTTGGATCGAAATGAATTGGAAAGGGCAAAAATGGATCAAATTAAAGATTTTCCAAATGGTATTCCTGAATGCGGTGCTGATGCCCTCCGCTTTGCTCTTGTTTCTTATACAGCCCAGGTTTTCTTCTGCACCAAGTTAACCAACTTTTTAAGCTTGCCTTGTTGCTGATACTAACATGTCCTTTCCTTGTTTCAGTCAGACAAGATCAATCTGGATGTCTTGAGAGTTGTTGGTTATAGGCAGTGGTGTAATAAGTTGTGGAATGCCATACGGTTTGCCATGACCAAGCTTGGAGATAACTATGCTCCCCCTAAGATGCTTGTGGTGGAATCTATGCCATCCATCTGCCAATGGATACTTTCTGTTCTAAACAAGGCTGTGGCAAAAACTGTATCATCATTTGAATCATGTAAATTCTCAGAAGCAACTACAGCTGTATACTCGTGGTGGCAATTTCAGCTTTGCGATGTATTTATTGAGGCTATCAAACCCTACTTTATGGGTTCATCACAGTTTGAATCTGCTAGAAAAGATGCCAGGGATACTTTGTGGGTTTGTTTAGACACAGGCTTGCGTTTGCTACATCCTTTGATGCCATTTGTTACTGAAGAATTATGGCAGCGTCTTCCTCAAGCAGAAGGAACATGCAGGAAAGAGTCAATTATGATATCAGAATATCCGTCAGTTGTAGAAGTAAGTGTTATTCTTCTTTTAATACTGTTATCAATTTTCAAAACTTTAATTCTTGACATAACTTCGTAGGCCTGGACAAATGAGAGAATTGAGAGTGATATGGAGATTGTCAATGGTGCTGTTAGAAAGCTCAGATCCTTACGTCCACAAAGTGACAAGAGTGAAAGGTTTTTCTAACAGACTATCTTGCTATCTAATCACTTTAATATCAGTCAAGGATTTAATTGCTGGTCAGGTTTTTCTAACAGACATCTTGTTACCTAACCACTGTAATAGCAGTCAAGGATTTTGTTGCTGGTCCTTACTATATACTGATATGGTGTCGGACTGGAGGGTACCATAAGAAATAATTGTGATCAATGAAATCATAACTATTTTTGAAGTGTCTGTATATGTTCGTACAACTTGTATACCAGGCACCGGTGCAGGGTCATGTAGTCAGTCTGGATTATTATCTGAATCCATGGTAATAGTAGATGGTGTCTATATTGTTGACAAATTTCATTGACTATTTTTTATATTCCTGTTTTCAGATATCCCGCCTTTGCACTTTGCCGGGGACATGATGTCTCCAACATCATCAAGGCCTATGAGCTAGAGATATTAACACTCGCCACTGTATCTTCCCTGAAGGTTCTATTTTATATTAAGAAAACCTTTAATACTTCTTGTCAAAGCATCTATACTGGTTATATTCTGTAATTTCAAACAATCAGGAGAAATTGTTTTTGGCATTATTTGTAAAATTTTCTGTTGTCAACTCTACGCTTTTAGTTAATTTATTGATCTTCTGATTTTTGGAGATGTTTCCTCTGTTGCTTGGATTATATGATTTTTGTGGACTAAATTATCCTTTCACTTTATTTAAACCTTGATTATCACATGGAAAAAGTTTTTAGGTGGCAGCATTAATGTGTTTCAATCACTTGCACTTTTGTTTTAGTCAATTAAAGATGTATTGTTGGGTTGAGGTTGACTTCTGTAAAATTTTGCTGTAAGAGAGATGTCAGGTTTGCACATGCATGTTGGTGGAAGGTACCTTTGATGGTATGCGCACCTTGGACCTGAGACTCTTGATGAATCCTTTTCATTTTTTTTATTGTGTATGGAGAGATAAAAATAAAATGGCTATCATACCTACAGTCATATGCATGCTATAGCCCACAGCTTCATGTGCTAATCATGCAAAAATGAAGTCTTTATGGTAAAAAGAGATGGCAGCCTCCCTTCTTTTGTCTCTTTTTAATCTGCATTGTTCTTGTGTGCTTTTGTGGTTTGATAGGTTATTTAACCTATTTTTTTGTCTCTATGTACTACTAGTGTATCCTAATTAAATACTGAATTGGATGTTTGTAAACGTTTGTAGATTTTAACCGAGGATGACTCGGTTCCTGCTGGATGTGCAGTTGATGTCGTGAATGAAAATCTTTCTGTCTATCTTCAACTTCAAGGAACACTAAATGCAGAAGCTGAATGGGAAAAGTTAAGGAAAAGAAGAGAAGAGACACAAAAGTAATTTCTTTACTTTGCTGCATGTTGCCTTTTTTTTTCTTTCTCCCTTGTGTGCTGATGGGTTTCTTATTCGATAATCTTTGAAGATGCATCTTTATTTAATAGTATGCTTTGCTTATGAGACATCGTTACACTCATGTTTCCACAGCATATGAATTGATTCATATGGAAGGATATCACTTTTGGCATTAGCCTGCACTTTGATATCCACCAACCCCAAATAGTTGTAATTCACTGTCTTATGTTTTAGTTGCTTTGTTAATTGAATATAATTCAGTTACATTGGCTGTGAGCACTGCAACTGTCTAAGCTCTCCTAGTCCAAATGCTTTCTGTCCACCTGAGACTTACTAATACAGGTTGTATTCTAGTACTTGGTGTCTTTTTCTAGTGGTTTTACCGTCTGGACCGGTCTATGGTAGCCAACCATTTCTTCTGTTGAATAGTTAATTATTCTTTGTTCTGTGTTTCCTTATAATGTCGGATTTTTATGAATATTTTTTACTCATTTCCCTTCATGGTACTGGCAGGAAACATGATCTTCTGGCACAGGAGATGAATAGTTTAGGTTACAAGGAAAAGGCTCCTCTGACCATCCAGGAAGACCAGATGAAGAAACTCAATTCTTATCTAGATGAACTTAGGTTAATTGACGAGGCCGAACAGGATTTGAAGAGGAGAATATAAGGAATCTAACGAATTACAAAGACTTGTACACCAATTGTTTCTGATTGCTTTTGGTATTTAATTTGTACGCCAAATATTGTTAACTTATTTGAATGATTGGTCAAACATTCTTAGGTACTTGGAGATTTTAATTTTCTCTGTTTGCTTCTTTTAGTTGCTTGTATGGTCATACAGGCTGTTAATGTTATTACATGACTACTTTCTTCAAATTTTTGTTTTCATTCCAGGCTACTTATTGTGATTTGCCTTCTACTAGCCTAGTCATGTGGGCAAAGTGGCTATATATGTATATATGCACATTTTTTACATGTGAGATCCTAAAATTTCACATGATGCAAAATAAACTGTTGAAGCTTAATGAGATGATTTGTTACATCACAATGTACGTCGTGTTAACCAAGAATATATATGAATTTTGTGATAAGATAGTTGTTAGTTGTTGGATTAAGACAATAAAGATTGTGTAACCAATGCCAATTAGGTGGAATTTATGGCTTGTACTACTTAGTCTTCACCTCCTGAATTTGTTAGAAATCTCCCCAAAAAGAAAAAGAAAAAGAAAATTATCCTTTTTCATATACTTTTTGTGTCATCCGACTTGGGAGGTTTTGGGGGATGCTGCTCACTCTTCAACGCAATCTTTCACGTTCAGATTTTTTACGATTTCCATTGGTGCTGCTATAATCCTCGATCATCCCCATGATAGTGCTTGCAGCAGATTGATATCCGGGTTGTATCCTAAGACGGTCTTCTTCTCGATGAAACCCTACACGAAGGGTGGGAATACATCTTAGGATAGTGAATCACACCTCTGGATTTCTTCTATTCCTTTTCTTTAATCCTATTTGTAAATTATCTGATTAGATTCTTTATTAAACTATGTTTATACTTGCTTTTGTTCTAACATTCTAAGACACAATCCATTGTCGAGGATATGCAACTGAATGACCACAATTCCATCGACGTGGTCTCTCACAAAGAAGCAAATCCTGAAACCCTCTTTGCTTGATGCCATCCTCAGGCCCGTGGTTCGTGGTAGCCTTGAACCAGATTTGATCATGGGGGGAGCGCCTTGAACCAGATTTGATCATGGGGGGAGCGTGGTGTCCGCTTTCTTTGCCTCCCTCGAGCGCTGACCCTGCATCAACCTCAGCATTGACAAGGACAACAACGATGAATCCAAGGAGGCCAAGGACCAGCCTCTCTTGCTTACGGAGCCCATCCTCCACCACGAGGAGGGACCCAAACCGTCCTCAGTCTAATCCAGTCAACTTCCTTTCTACGCCCGCTGTTGTCATCACCGTGGAAACCTAAAACCTTGAAATCAATTGGATAATTAAGGAGCATTTCCTATGAGGAAGCCAGCTACAACCATGAATGTGTAATCTACCTACTGGTGATTATACAAGGGTAAATTCATAATCCCTCATTCAGCTGCAGGTAAATTTGGATTGTACCCTAAACTATTACTAAAATCAAGTTGTATTATTAGTTTGCATCTACAAGCATTTCTGAAACAGTAGGGACATAAATGTTAGTGGAAAAGTTATTCTTGACATTACCGACTAAACAAATTTAGGGCATGCTGGATTTTGACTTCTCTTCACCAAGCATTTCTTACTTTAATTTAGCTGACTGTATATTTTATTTTCCTGGTAACTATCGTTTATCATGTCAGGAATTCTATATTTCTAAACAACATTGTTGCGTGCACAATCTTGTGTACCTCCCTTTGGTGTTTATTCTTCATTTCAACTGCATTGAAGGCCACAAGCTAAGTTGCCCAGCGGATGGGTATGGTGGCGAATATGTAGTTTATTGATGAGATTTAATGGATATTTAACATGCTTTTCCCTCTACTTGCTAGATTAACGATGGTTAATTATGTATCAAAGTGTAGTTGATAAACTGGTGGTGTTAAAAACTTAAAATTACTCTTCAGGCCTTCTTGATTCACTGTTGTATGATAATATTTCTTGTCTTGGAGAAACAAAGTTGGTCTTTCCTGATGGTCATAATTGTTACATCTGATATCTTGAAGATGATCAAGCTATGCTTGTTCATCTACATATTTGGATAATTTATTCATATTCTACTTAGATTTTCGGCCATGCTCTTAATTTTTTTTATATTCTGCTAGAACCATTTTAAATTAGTTGTTCAATTACATAGTTTGATGATGCAATTCTCCTTTCATTTGACTATAATGATGCTACTCGCTTCTAACATGCATGCGGCATTATGACATGGATTCCAAAATGACTGATTTTTCTACTTAAAATTTCCGTACAAAGATTACATGGTCATCAATTAGTCTACAGTTATCATGTATTGCTTGAGTTAGACTTCAATAAAGCAATCCAGTAGCCCACATTGTTTACAATGATCTTCTATACTCATTACCATCGTCATTTTTTCTTTTTGTTTGTGCGGTAACATTCAATGATTTCTCTGCCTGTGCAATTATAAGTTGTTAGTTCACTCTGTGGTAGAAATGAACTGACTACTACATAGAACACTTCCAAATTATATTATCATACCTTTCATGATTCATTTAACTTTGTTGTTGCTGTGATGGATAGTTTGGTTGTACTTGCCTATAATTGGCAGAAAAGAACACCGAGTAAAGAGATTATTAGTGTTTTATATGCACTAGAAAACATATCCAAGAGTGAACTTCATGGTCACATTTTGCTCATCTTTCCTGGAAGTTTGAATGTGGACCTTGAGGATGAAGCTTCTCGTTCCTGTGGATAAGTTTCAGCATTGACAAGTGGTCACAAGTTTCTTCAAGTCTTTCATCCTTACTTCCTTGCTGCTTCAATGGATGAAATGACACTGATGGCCCGCTGAAATATTAGTAAGTTATTCTATTTGTGGAGATGTGGCATGAAAGAGACTAATGGGATTGACTTTCCAGGTGCTCCTAAATTTTCCCTCAAATGATCATGAGTTAAGGTAAGTCAACTTGCCACCTTTCATAGATTGTACCTTATTAAAAAAAAAATTAATACAAAATTTTCTAGCAGCCTACTTTAGTTTTCTAGCAATGATCATGTAATGGAAATGATAGCATTATCAACCGAACATTTTTATCTAATACATGTGAATATATGTGTAAATTCATTAATCATGATTCTCTATCATGTTTTAAATTAAATGACATGTTTCTATATGTTTAATTTCTGTTGACTCATGTCAAATGTAACAAAAATTACAATAAGCAAGTGTAGTTATTACTACATTACTATAAAATTTGATCAACTCATAGAAAGACAGATTACCATATGTTTCTCTTGTATTATAAGTTTTAGAATTCTGGTCAACACATTACTATAAGTTTTTGCTCTACCCTTATCATGTTAGTATGTGATCATGATTGGTATTAAACATTAAAGTAATTTATTTTTATGTTTGTCCTTTTTCCTTTAAAATTAATTTTTTCAGTCATCTGGTTGTGGATGAAGTGAAAAGTAGTGAATGACATCTAATTCCTAAATGATAAAAATATATCATGATTGATATAATGGTTGCATTGTTAACTCTTATAGCACTTGAAATGTGGGGGCATAAATTAAAATAAAGGATCCCTTTTAGATTTGCTTTCTTTTTTTTCTAAAATGTTTGATGACTTCTCCACATGCAAATTTTATTTAAATTATATGTACATGTTCCTTTGTTACATAAAAGTATCATATTTAAATGAAGTACTGGGCTCTTGTACCTTACAATGTTTGTTATATGTTTTTTAATTCTTGTACCTTACATAGTTGTAATGACCACCTTGATTACTAGAACCAAGGATTTTAATTTTGAATGCTATTGTTCATATCGGACGATACGTACCGATTCGCCAGTAGACCGGTACGCAGACTGCCCACTATCGGGTGGTATTAGCCTGCTTGCGTCGAGGGAGAAGGTGCTCGAAGAAGATAAAAAATCGGGAGAACCTCGATGTTTTCTGATCCGGCACCGCCCTCCCTCGATGATCTCGATCTAGTAGGTAACGGAGAGCCGACGGCTCGGCTTCTTCTTCGTCGCATTCTTCGCCGAAGGCCGGAGACGTTTGCGGCCTTCGACGTCTTCATCAAATGCCACAGATGAGGAGAAGATCGCGTTCTTCTCCTCGTCACGTCGCGCTGAAGGCTTGAGACGTCTGTGGCCTTCAACGTCTTCGTCGAATGCCACAGATGAGGAGAAAATAGCGTTCTTCTCCTTGTCTAATGCGACGAGGAGAAGGAAAGATCCTAATGCAGTGATTTGCATGTTCTATGATAAGACTATTAGATGGGGTATTTTTCGTACAAAATAACATCTAGTAGGAAATTTTAAAAATGCAGCAACTTGTAAAAAGTATCCACATGAGGCAAAAGAAGAGTTGTTGAGTTATATGAATGAAAAGAAGATGCAAAAGAATGAATCTTATGGGAATTTACTAGAAGACAATGTTGAACATCTCAGGGATGAAGAAGAAGATTTTTCTATGAGTATTAACCCAAGTGGAAAAAAAGTATACGATAAAAAAGAAAAAGAAATTATGAGTACTAAAAAGGGTAAAAAAGGACCGATGGATCTATATATGTTTCAAGGGTCACAGAAGCAATAAGGGCAAGTAGGAGGCTTAAAATTTAGACAAATAAATATAAGTGATGCTTATGATAAATAAAAACGAGGAAGAATAATTCAGTACATTGCTCGTTGTTGAATCTCGAATTTTGATGATGAAACCAATTGATAAGTGTTTATGATTTGATTTGTGTTTTGAGTGACGCAGGATGCTTCGATCAGGTTGAGACAATTAAAGTAGGAAAAATCATGTTGGGCCGGAGGAAAATATGTCAGAAGATTGGATGTCGGGCCGGAGGATCGGTCGACATATTGATAGAAGGCTTCGGGCCATGGATTCGGGCATCAGGCCAAGAAGAGCAGATATTGCACCAAGGATATCAGAGTTGCGGAATCAACTGGCCGATTGGGTAATAGGCGGCAAGAGAGGACGATGCGCCAAAGAATCAAACGAAGCGTCGAGGGACCAATGACATGTCGGACAACATGATTAATGCTTAGTATTAATTGTCTAGATCAAAGTGTGTTTTACATGTACAGGATTAACTACGATAGCAAGGCACGAAGCAAAATGAAGTCCCGGAGTCAAGGGCGCGATTTCGTTGGGAGTTCGAGAGTTCGTCGGAAGTCCGGACGTTCATCGGAAGTTCTATCGGAACC